GACTATTCTTTCCCCCATGAGTTGGATTGGAACCATTGCCTAATCCAAAGTTATGAAGATTTATGGCTATGTTTTCTTTTAAGAGTTTTATAATTTTAGCACCTTACATTTAGGTCTTTGATTTAGTTTGAATTAATTTTTATATATGGTATAAAGTAGGAGGTCCAAATTTATATTTTTACATGATGAAGTCCAGTTTCCCAGCAGTATCTGCAGTATCTGTTGAAAAGACTATTCTTTCCCCCATGAGTTGGATTGGAACCCTTATCAAAAATGAATTGACCTTCAATATATATGGGCTTATTTCTGGACAATCAATTCTATTCTGTTTATCTGTGTCCTTATACCAGTACCACATTGTCTTGGTAACTTTAGCTTTGTATTATGTTTTGAAATCAGAAAATGTGAGTCTTCCAACTTTGTTCCCCTTTTTCAAGATTGGCTATTTGGCATCTTGTGTATTTTCTTATGAATTTTAGGATCACCTTGTCAGTTCTGCAAACAAACTACCTGGGATTTTGGTAGGGATTACATTGAATCTGTAGATCTGTTTGTGGAATATTGCCATATTAACAATATTGTTTTCTAATCTGTGAACATGGTATTTCTTTGCATTTATTTAGGTCACTTGTAATTTCTTTCAACAATGTTTTGCAGTTTTTAGAGTATAGGTTTTGTACTTTCTTAAATTTATTCCTACATATTTTATTCTTTTTGATGCTATTATAAATGGAAATATTTTCTAAATTATATTTTCAGATTCTTCTTTGCTAAGCGTATAGACATACCATTGACTTTTTTGGTCTCCTCCTGTCAGGGTTTTTGATGGATTGATTCTTTTATCATTGTAAAATGCCTGTCTTTACCTCTAGTGATATTTTTTCATTTTAAAATCTGTTTTGTCTGATATTGGTATAAATACTCCAGCTTTCTTATTGTTTACATATATATCTTTTTCCAACTTTTTATTTTCAATCCATTTGCTTCTTTGAATCTAAAGTGCCTCTTGTAAATAGATAGCCTAGGCTGGGCATGGTGGCTCACACCTCTGATCCTAGCACTCTGGGAGGCCGAGGCGGGAGGATTGCTCGAGGTCAGGAATTCGAACCCGCCTGAGCAAGAGTGAGCCCCTATCTCTACTAAAAATAGAAGGAAATTAGCTGGACAACTAAAAATATATAGAAAAAATTAGCCAGGCATGGTGGCGCATGCCTGTAGTCCCAGCTA